CAATTTACTCCAATAAAAGGAGCTGGGCAACAGACAAAATTCTGCCTGAATCATCTTGGGGGATACAAGTTTGGGAATTTGCTTAGGACTATTGCTCTGAATTTCTTCAGGGAAGGGGAAATCTGGATGCAGTTTTAGGTAGGAACAGATTGCTTGCTAATGCCTGTGGTTATGATCACACAATGAGTGAGAACTTTTTCCACTTGTCTACTCTTTGCCAATTCAAGTCCATTCATTACTGCTTTGGAGCGAAAACTAATAGTCCTGTGCCAAACCAATCTGAAAAGGTGCTCCCTGATCTTCTCACAGGCAGGGTCTGGCACAATTTCTGCTTGACAGCCTTAAGGCCTGACCCATCTCAGACTAAGACGTGTAAGGCCAAATGTTGCATGTTTCACATCTGAATCTGCTCTGAAAATGTAAGGTGCCTATTTGTTGAACTAAAAGGATGCCTTTTTTCAGTTGCTTCTGAGCTATAGGTGTACATGGATGGCTTTGTACCCAAGAGAGGGGCACGGACCACTGCACAAACTTCAGAAAGCTTCCCATGGTGCAAGACAGAAGCTACCCTTAAAGGATGGTAGGTGCAGGGGAGAATTTTGTATTTTAATAGATCCCAAATGCTTTGTGACATGGGAAGGAGCATATGTAGCATTAAAATTGTGTATACACACATACACACAGCATACGTGTGTGTGTGTGTGTGTGTGTGCACATGTGTGTTTGAGACAAGGTCTTGCTGTGCAGTTCAGGCTGGCTTTGAGCTCACTTTGTAGCCCAGGCTGTTCTCAAAATTGCAATGATTCTCCTGTCTCAGCCTACCAAGTGGTGGAATTACAGGTGTGCACCACTACACCTGGCTTTATATAATGTATAGAAAGCCCTGGCAACAGCCAAGTCACACCACCACCAGAGAATGGTGGGTGTAGGGACGTCACAGCTCTCAGCTGCCACATTATTTCAGCTAAAATTCATTAGGTCCTCACACATCATTTTCTCTTTGTTTCCCTTCTAAGCCTTACATGTTGACTTCCTTTTAGAGATCACTTTTGGGTAGGAAACTAGTCTACTGCTTCATAAAAATGACTGAATTAATGACACAAGCAGAGAACAACAAGGCTTTTGGGGATGAAATTCTGACAGGCAGCTCGGTTCAGCTTCTGGCCTAATGGGGCAACTGGCTTACATCTCTACCTCAGCGAAAAGACAAGTGGCGCGTGTCCCGGGAAGCCTGAGCCTACTTGGAGAAGAGGGAAACACAACATGCCTGCTAGCTCGCTGGGGTCGGGGGTCTGCTCAGAGAGGACGACCACGTCGAGGCCACAAGCCGCGCCGGGGGAGGAAGCCCAGGAAGCACATGGGCAGCAGGCGTCTGCGGGCCTTAGGGTCTCAGTGTGTTCGATCGCTTTCATTATAGTCTTTTAATTTGCCAACAATTCTAAGTTGGCATTTAGAATCAGAAAAAAGCCATAAAAATTATTTTGAAAGATGTCAGTAATATCTTCAGTTGCAAGAAGCCCTGGGAGAATGAACCTACAGCCACGGCAGCCAGCCACTGTGCTTGGTGAGTGAAGGCCTGGACAGCGAGGGAGAAGCAAGGAAGGATGAGAATGGAGGGACAGCAGAGAAAGGGCCAAGAGGAGGACAGAGGGACAGCCACCTGAGCTGATGGTAGGGAGTGGGGCCTTCCTGCTGCGGGCCGGCTGTTTGAGGTCTGTGTGGATTGAAAACAATTCCCGGAAGAGAGTTGTTCATGTATCCAGGAAGCTTGTGAACTTCCTAAAACTAAAGTAATGACTGAGAGGGACTGAGGCGAGGCTGGGAGGAGTTAGGGACCAGGGACAGGCAGCAAGGTGCAGAACCGGGAGCACTGTGGCCCCTGAATGCTTTTATAGCTGATGTGGGACCATAGGATACAAACCCGGGAACAGTGTTTACTAATGAATTTTAGACAGTTGGTTCAAATATATAACGTTTACTTATTATAATGCAAAATATTGTAAAATATTATCAAGTAAAATAATGAGGCCCTCAAAATAATGAGGGTATTTTGTTAAACACGAAAGGCGGGCATCAGGGCTTGGGCCACCAGTGGTCACATCCAGTTTATGTTTGCTTTCGTTTGGTTTTAAATATGTTTTAAATAAAAACATTCTTATTAACTCAAGAAGTAGTTACTCTTGGTAACAGTTTCAACAGTTTTCCTTGCAATCTTAGGGTGCTCAATTTTTTAATTAAGCAGAAATAGTGGGGGAATTTGGTGAGGACAAAAAGTATTTACTTTGCTGGTTCACAGTTTTACAATTGTTGAAATGTCTTTTTTACAATTCACTTAGCTTGAATCATTTTCTGTTTAATATGTTTAAATATATCTTTTGTGAATCATTCAAAAATACTTTAAAATATGTGACTCGAACAGTCTTACAGAGCAACAGATGTCTTTGGCGCTGTCTGAAATTAGTCATTTCGTGTAGCCCACAACTCCGGCCCTCATTGTATGGGAGAGAAAATGAGGTCAGGCAGGAGAGTAGATTTGCAGCCCTAACCTTCAACATCTTTTTTGTTGTTTGTGACGCTTTTCTGTCTTGAAAGGAAGAAGCGTGGCTATCTGAAGGGGTCTCAGGACTACAGTAGGCCCCAGACACCAGAGTGTACCGGAAAGGCACGAATAAGTACCTCAGCAGCTGGATGCGTGATTGTGTTGAAGTTCACGCACAGTGACTCTGCACTGAGAAGAGTCTTTAATTCTGGGTAGGAAACTGGACAATTCTAGGGGCAGGCAGAGGACAGCTGCTCCAGGACTTGATTCTGCGAGTCGGATGGGAGAGGATCTGATTTAGAGTCTCTGTCTCTACTTTTCTCGGGCTAACCTTCCTCATTCTGTCCTGGGATTCAGAAAGGCTGTGCTCATGGGCACATGCAGGGTCAGCCACTCCGTGGCAGCCCCGAGGCTCCACCCGGGCAGCGCCTCCACGGAAGCTTCCCGTTCAGCCCCTCTTACTGGCCACTCTTAATGTGTGCAGCTTTGTCTAATGACTTCTTCATTAAACAGCAGCTTCCTGACATTTACCTCCAACTTATTTTTTATTTTTCCTTTTTCTCACTTTTTCTTCTTCTTCTTCTTTCTTAAATAGCCACCTGTCCCAACATTTATACACGTGCTGTCTTAGATGTTTTAAAAACATGTGGCACAGAAAAAGCTTAATGACAGACAGTCTTCTTTCAATGTAAGCTTTTCTTTCTGAGAACAAGAAATGGGCCAAAAATGCTGTCCCCACAGAGAAGAACAGGCAAAATTCAGAGACCAAAGAGAACTTGTCTGATTCTGAATATTTTCTTGAGTTGTTAGCAAAATGCTTTTGTTGCACAGCTGTCTTCCATAGCTACTTTTTTGCACTAAAGTTTTTTTCCCTAATCATAACAGTATTTGCAGTTGTGTGAGACAGGATCTTCCAGGCTGAAGCTTTCATGGCAAAAGTGTGAGGCTTTAAGGTCTATGGGCAGCTGAATGTCTCACTTGAGACAAACATATTTTTTACATCCTGATCTTTCTGATATAGGTATGGATAAAAATGTAAAAACAAAAAGAATATTTTAAAATAGTGTTAAATTGAATAAAGTATTTCCAATGCTTACTTTTTCCAAAATAAAGATATTCAGCAGTGTTAAAGTTTAGTTTTATATCTAACTTATAATATATAACATTCTGGTATAATGTAAAGCTACATTGAGCTTCACTTAAAGTTAATATGCAAGATGTGTTCATTCTGTTCCTTCAGCGAGCACACTTCTTTTGAGGCAGGAAATATGTTTTCTGCAGGTTTGCTAAGAGCAATTTCCTACCATGTGAAGGAAATTTAAGTTTAGAATTCATGAATACAAGGCAGAAAGAGTACAGGGGAGTGAACTTTAAAACTTAAGGGCAGAAAACAGAAGCCAAAATCGCGCTGGTTACATATAAAATAACGCCACAGTGCTTTACACCTACGTGGTCCACGATGTAGTGGCTTAATTATTCAGACCTTTCTATCTATATATAATTAATACACTCTGATTTCAATAAGTAACATTGAAATATTCCTTAGAAACACAACAAGTTTGAGAAAGGATCTTTTATCTTTTAGTTTTCATAATTCATTTGTAGGGAAAGAATTTCTTATCCCCTCACTGATACGCTGCAGCTAATCAGCGGTTACTAAGGAGACGCAGGAGGTAGGGAGGGCGGCAAGGGCTGCGGTGAGCGCCCTGGAAAGACGCCTGCCTGAGCTTCTGTGATTGCGCAGTGCCCAGGTTTTCACTGGCAGGCTTTCTGCGGGGGCCTCGGGAATTGAACTCAGGACCTCGAGCTCGCCAGGCTCGTGTTGTGCCACTGAGCTATAGCCTGGCCCCTGTCAGGTTTATTCTTGAACCTGCAAATAATGTAAAGAGTCCATTATGGTTTTCCAAAGGCGAACAATGATGTGTGAAAGTGTTAAGTGTTTAACTTTTTAAAGCCTCTAATTAAAAAGATTTTCATCAAATCCTGACCTTGGAAAGATGTCCTGCGAAGGCTGAGCTTGCTCAAAAATCACAGGACAGTTTTAAGGCAGGTTCTGCTCCTGATTCATCAGTATGGACCAGAGACAGAAGCGATCGGCTGTGACCCTGATGTATAGTCTGCTTTGATCATGCTCCTGATTAGGGACAGAGAAAAAGAAGGAAAGACTTCTGAGCACATAAGGCTGTCAAGCAGCCCTTAGCCTAGAGTACCTCACGGAGGAGACAAATTGGGAAGCAGAATGAAAAGAAAGCAGAAGAGAACATGGCTCTGCAGAGTGCTGTGCCCACTGCGCTACAAAAGCAGAGCCCAATGAGCCACACACAGCAGCAGACCACAAGGCCATGGAGCGAGTGCCAGGTGACCCCGAATGGGCACTCAGCAACACTTGCCATTCTATTTTTAATTTTAAAATCTCACTTAAATGTAAGATTGTGACAAGGAACCAGTAAGTCACACTGACCTGGCTGGACAGGGGTCCAAGTTGCACTCCTGAAGCTTCGGCTTGGGCTTGGCGTTCTCGGGGTAGTAGTGGCAGTTCTGATCAGCAACCACTCTGCTGCTCCGGAGGTCGTAGCACTCAGCCGAAGTCAGCTGGTAGCCTACGAATGCCAGAGCAACCAGCAAGATGAAAAGCGCGGGTGGCAGCAACGTATTGCTTGCTTTCTATTTATTTATTTTTGCCATCTCAAATTAAGGGAAGCTATGCCCCAAGGCCTCAGTAATTTTCAGTCAAAGAAGATGCATAGTTGGAAGTCTTGTTAGTTTCTGCAGGCCTTAGATACTATGTTTTTGGGGGCCGGTGAGATAGCTCAGCGATCCAAAGGTTCCACTAGGCAAGCTTAGGCAGGTAACAGTGGATCTGATTTGATCTCAGCACCACATGCCACGCCAGCCCTGCCCTCAGGGTGGGGCAAGCTGGAAAAAAAACAGATGGGATGTTTTTCATAAATAACTCATTCATTTTAATACTTATGTTATATGATAGTCCTTGAGTTACAGAAGAGCATAGTCAGATTATGAAACCATGTGGTAAGAACTACTATCCAACTCCCTTAGTCAAGGACGCTAAGGTGCCCTCTTCACACCTGAGGCATGAGCGACAGTAAGCTAACAGCTAACTAACGAACTAACGAGCGAACCAACTAGCACAACGTTCTCCTCCTTGGACAAGGGGGGCCAACAGAGGACCGTGCAGAATGAGGTTCTGCCAGCTGCCAGAGAGTATGGCTTTCACTGAAATTCAAACTAACTTGTTTGAGCTGAATAAATGGACAGCTGAGACCCAGACAGTAGCCACCATGAATCCTGTCTCTGTGGGACTGAGAAACAGCAACGCAACAAAGAGCCTTCTCTACTGAAACTTCCGAGAGAGAGAAACCCACTATCTAATTTCTGCTTTCACCAAAATCTTTTGCCATCTCTTATGAAATTAGGTCTTTAACCCATATTTCTTACCTCTACCTACAAATCCCTAGTGCTCGGAGAAGGCTCTTAAACAGGAAGAGCTGTTGAGTAATAACTGGATTAGCCACAGTATCTTTATCTTTCCTTTTAGGTCTTTATTTTCCTGCACATTTCTGGTATGGTGGCAATCAAGAAATAGATTCTTGGGGTGAGAAATAAATGTACATAGAGAATTAAAAAATCATATTATTCTAGCCCTTACCAATCACACAAATACATTCTTTCTGGCAGGTGGTTCAATGCTGTTATTGCTAAATATATATTAGGAAGCAATCTTTAACTTGTTAAGGGGCTTGCAAAAATTTTTAGGAAATTAGAAGGAGGCTTTTAAGGCAGATTTCCTGGCTTGAGGCTGTGCTCTTAGACCACCCACAAAAGTTAAGTGCTTATTAAAGATCTAAACAGAGACCTCTTAAAGTTTTACTGGAAAGATGAAAAGCATGGAAAATAATGAAAGTAATGAATATTCCATCTAATCTTTACTTCATAAGAAAATTAAGTCTTAAAATGGTATTTTATATAAAATGTACTTTTATTTATCAAATCTACTGTATTCGATAGTGGCTTATCTTACGACAAGCTAACCACATAATTTTTTACATAATAGTTTTTACTCCAGGACAGAATTCATCATGGAGAAGTAACAAATAAAGTATAAATCTGAGATTATGATTTTTCAAAATTATAACTTGCCAACCTAATCCCACTCTTCTGAAGCCACTGTGGAGAATGTCAACTGAAAGGTTACAATGAAATGAAGTAAATGACTAAAGTGATGAGACAACCACACATCCGGAAGGTTCCTGAGGTGTTCTGGGAAAACAATTTTTTATACTGGGCAAAATGGGCAACTAGTTGAATGTGGAATAAACAACACAAAAGGGAATTTGGGGGGTAACTTTTCTCTAATTTTCAAAGTGGTCTATGAGGTAAGAGGAATGTAGGTCTTCATAACCTTTATGTCTGTGCTGAGAACAGTTTTTCTTTCATCTGGTCTTACTAGGAAAATTTCCTTTGAATAAAGTTTGTTACACCTGAAGCCATCTGGTGTCCTCTACTTCATCACTTACAGATAAGGGAAATGAGGCCCCAGGGACACGAATGATGTCCCTGATCACCTTGCTCTACAGGGAACCCTGGCAAGATGCGTGGAATTCCACCCTGACAGGAGCGCCAGGCGAAGCTCACGGCGCAGGCGTGGCTGGGTTGCTACTCCTCACAAAGCATAGCTTTCCTTTAAAAAGAAAGAAACTTAAGAATCATTTTATGCTTTGAAATCATTTTCTGTGCTAGTAATTAATAGATGACCAGAAAATTTTAATCCTACGAAAAATCAAAGTCATGGCAGCTTAGCATTAAGAAGAGCGATTTTCTATTTAGGACAGAGAACAATTAGTAATGCTGACCTGGCGGAAGTGCTTAAAATGTTGAATTAATAGTTATTTAACAACAGAGTAAGAGTATTTGGTGACATTTTGACTCACTGGTATTCAGGTGAAGTCTATCGTTGGTCTAGAGAATCACGTTTCTAGTAACTGAATCATAATATATATTCATGATAATATATATCATAATATATATAATATATGTATCATAATATATCATTATATATGTTATATATACATAATATATATCATAATATATATCTTCATATATACATAAGGATTACACAGGTATGGTGAATTACATCATATATTCTTGCTGTTTTACAATAATGTCTCTGTTTATCTTTGTTTTGGGGTAATATCGTTTTACCTCCCGGGAAAATTAATGTAGTGATACCTGTATGGATGAACAACCTTTTTTTTTGGTATTTAATACAGGGTCTACAGGGTCTCACTACACAGGTTGGACTTGTAGTGATCCTCCTATTTTTAGCCTCCCAAGTGGTGGGATTACAAGCGTGTGCCATCACGCCCAGTCTACACATGGATGAACATTCTAAAGCTGTCTAATAAATAGGCTTCCAGGAGCTAGAGCTAGAATTTATTTGATGTACTAACTTTCAAATAAGTATACCTAGAATTTTGTAATCACAAAAGCTTTTTAAAATGTACAAAAGCTGGCAAAGAATCTAAAACACTCAAACACTGCTTGTTATTTTCTAGAAGGAATTTGGTCACTTATGCCAGTAGCCACAAAGGTTCTGAAACTTATTTATCTAGTAACCTCACTGCTGAGGATTTATCCCAGGAGATCATGTGAAAGGAGAAAAATACTTGGCTATTGAATTATTCATCACATTATAACAGCAGAAGGGGTTGAATGGCCTAAATGATCTGTTACCGGAAAAGGCAAAATAAATCAGTATGAAACAACCCACAACAATTATTATGCATACAATCACTATAATTATGGAGAATGAAAAATGAGGAAAAAACCGAAACCCCAAACAAAAACTTCTCTGGTAGCCTAGAGCTCTGTCCAAGGTATGGATGGAGCAGGCGGGGACAGGGGTCACTTTCTGACTTTCCCAGAGAGGCCCATTTCAGCAAACGAATGAAGGAAGTGCCGACGAGGTGCAGCCCAAGTCAGCTGGCTGCAAGTCTCTAATGTACTCATCTTTTCTGGCACTAAAAGATTTTCTAATTAACTATGAGGTGTGATTAAAATAAATGGAGAATGTTTGAAGTAAAAAAATCACACTACAATGTACTCTGGCATCACCCCGCCGAATGCTCCCCGTGGTGCCTAGTGCTCCAGACCTGGCCATCCAGACCTGCCACTTTGGGGGCAGCTCCCGGGTGCTCCTGCCCATCCAGACCTGCCACTCTGGGGGCAGCTCCCGGGTGCTCCTGCCCATCCAGACCTGCCACTCTGGGGGCAGCTCCCGGGTGCTCC